TCATAACAGTTCAAAAGAAGGCTGAACCGGGAACTGACACACCTCTCGGAAATGAGCCGGTCAGGGAACCAGGTGTCTGAGTACATTTCAAACACGTTCTTAGGTAAGACGTTAACCTGTCCCATAACTGAGGCTTTTCAGCATTAATTTTTGCAACCTATCAAGGACATCCCCATATGAATTTGAAATAGGGTTAAGTGATAGAAAAATAAATCCATTCAAAATACAAAGGGGGGAAATAAGCAGCAAGATATTGCAAAGAAAAAATGGAAATATGCATCAACAACAGAAGGTGATTATGGGCTGACTAAATCTATATGGACCTCAGGTCACCCCTGGCTCACCCTCCATTTAAATCTCTGCCAAGACCTCTGAAGTAGCAGGCAAGGTCTAATCATCCAAACCCTAGAGACAGCTCCACTGGCTCCCCTGACATGCTATTCTGGAAATATTTCCAATAACTGGGTTTTGAGTAAAAAGCTTCCTGTAAGAAGTTTTGTAAAGCATATGTTCAGAAATAATTCTACAGTGCTTTGGTTCATGAGAATAAGCTTTGGAAATAATTTGGCCATTGTTTTGCTAAGTTGTTTCTTAAAGATAGGTGGGCAGAGATGTTTGTATCTCAGAGATATATATTGCCTTCTGTTGTTACCTTGCCAGTGTTTGACACAAGACACTGACCAAACAAAAAGTTCTGCATGAATCATCCTCAACCACTGTCATGTATCTTGTTTGAGTATTAGGAATTTCTGATCTCAGACTTGAAGGCAATTCTATTGTGTGATGAGCCTATGTGGATGATTTCAACTTTAAAAGGCCTATAGAATCTGAAAATCTGTATTTCGCAGTGAATACGTAGCATTCAGATTCTGATCCTGCTGGTCTTCGATTTCTACTGAATTATGCTTTTTTAATAAAACCCTATCTTCCAGGAAAATAACTCATTCTTATGGCTGAATTCCACCCTCTTTTCTTTTTGGCATAACTATGTATCATTCAATCATTAAGCCTTGATGCCTTACAGAAAAGCATACACCTTCTGGCTTTGGTTTTAGAAATCAATTCTATTTTCTCTAACACCAAAGCTATTCCTGCTATCCCTGATCAATGAGCTTTCTCTTTGAGCAGCCTGATATAAAGCTCACTGCATTACTCTGCAGCCAATCGTCACCTACACACTGAATGACTATCTTTCTAACTGCTTCTAGTGTATGGCTGTTTGCAGCACCTGGGTTTTTTTTCAGCACCAGTTGCAACAACCTTTTTCAGAGAACAAAGGCAAAGAATTTCTCATACATTCTTGCTCCCAGAGGTGACTAGAATCTAACTGAACAGAAAACATTACATATGGATCCTTTTCTATTCTTCTTTCCTTTCCTCTTTGGAGACAGGCATTTTCCATTGACTATTTCAGATATACCCTGTTCTGTGTAACCCTCAATTATTTTTTATAAGCTGGAAGTTGTTTTAGGGATATTTTACAGGTCAGGGGAGGTAAGAATTAAATTAATAAGTGCAAGAACCCATTTTTGTCTTCATAAACATTGCATTCTAAAATACCAGGGCTTGGGACCAGCAACTAGCGTAATGGCTATGTCGCTGGACTCCCATGTAGTCTACCGCGGTTCAAGTCCTAGAACCAGTGGCTTAAACTCACGCCAGGCACGTGTGCGTGTGTGCCCAAGATCCTGAGAGGACAATGGAGGAGAAGGGATTGCGGTGTGGCCATCCTCCCTGGGGGGTGATTTCTCGCTTTCTATCTCTCTGTCTCTCTCTGTCTTTCTGGTGAGCGCACATGCCCTATAGTGAAAACCTCTCAAAATAAAATAAAATAAAATAAAATACCAGGGCGTATCTGTCTTCCCCAAAGAGAATCTCAATATTAGGGTTAAAGCTTCATAAAGTCCCTGAGCCCTTAATCATCTTAAGAATGGACTAGAGCAGTCCTCTTTGCTTGTAGCTTTTATAATACCTGCTTTAAGGAGAACAGAGTATCTTAGTATGCTAATTAATCTTTTTCTTAGCATCACTGGTTGTCAAGAAAGAGAGCTGATAAGAAAATAAAGATGAGCTCTCAATCTTTCAATTTTTATCTCAAGAACAGGCAAATGTTAACTCTTTCTTGAGTATTCTATTTAGACACATCTTTTGGGAAAACTAAACATTTGGCATTTCATTATTTGAAAAATTAAATTATCAATAACAAATTGTCGCTGGACTCCCATGTAGTCTACCGCGGTTCAAGTCCTAGAACCAGTGGCTTAAACTCACGCCAGGCACGTGTGCGTGTGTGCCCAAGATCCTGAGAGGACAATGGAGGAGAAGGGATTGCGGTGTGGCCATCCTCCCTGGGGGGTGATTTCTCGCTTTCTATCTCTCTGTCTCTCTCTGTCTTTCTGGTGAGCGCACATGCCCTATAGTGAAAACCTCTCAAAATAAAATAAAATAAAATAAAATACCAGGGCGTATCTGTCTTCCCCAAAGAGAATCTCAATATTAGGGTTAAAGCTTCATAAAGTCCCTGAGCCCTTAATCATCTTAAGAATGGACTAGAGCAGTCCTCTTTGCTTGTAGCTTTTATAATACCTGCTTTAAGGAGAACAGAGTATCTTAGTATGCTAATTAATCTTTTTCTTAGCATCACTGGTTGTCAAGAAAGAGAGCTGATAAGAAAATAAAGATGAGCTCTCAATCTTTCAATTTTTATCTCAAGAACAGGCAAATGTTAACTCTTTCTTGAGTATTCTATTTAGACACATCTTTTGGGAAAACTAAACATTTGGCATTTCATTATTTGAAAAATTAAATTATCAATAACAAATTGTTGGAACCATCAGGTAGCATGGTGGTTAAGCCACTCTAAGCCAACAACTGTTCAAGTCCCAGACCTGATGGCTTACTCTCTCTCTCTCTCTCTGTCGTTCTGGTGAAAGAAAGAAGAAAATAATTATAATAATAAATAAAATAAAATAATTACTTTTTAAAGAAGAACAAATTGCCGAAGAAGGTTATTAGAATCTCGATCCTTACAGATTCTTAGCATCAGGAACATGTAGATTCTTAGCATTAGTATGTATGAGGGTGTGTGTGTATGTGTATATATGTGTGTACATGGTAAACGCCATCAAACAGACTAGACAGGTTAGAATTTTAAATATTCTTGAGAAAATAGGGGAGGAGGGGGAGTATCATGTAAACAAAAGATGCATCAGTTGCTTTATCTGTAAAATGGGAGCACTGGAATAAATGGCATCTCCAATCTCTTTCAACTCTAACATTTTATGACCAACATGGATTGAATTTATCAGTTTTACTAAGACATATTTGACAGCTTAGGTTTCTCTGTGATAGACTGTAGGTTTATAATTAGACAATTGTTTTAAGAAAGATTTTTGCAGGAACCAGCAGTTAGCGTAATGGCTATGTCGCTGTACTCCCACGTAGTTGACTGCGGTTCACGTCCCAGACCCGGTGGCTTAAAACTCACACCGGGCGCATATGCATGCGTACCCAAGGTCCCAAGAGGAGAATGGAGGAGAAGGGATTGCGGCGTGACCATCCCCCCTGGGGGGTGATTTCTCGCTTTCTGTCTCTATGTCTCTCTCTGTCTGTCTGGCGAGCACACGAGCCCTATAGCAAAAACCTCTTCAAAAAAAAAAAGAAAGAAAGAAAGAAAGATTTTTGCTATAGGGTGCATGCAGAGAGACAGAGAAAGAAAGTGAGAAGTCACTCCCCAGTGGGGATGGCCATGCCATAATCCCTTCTCTTCTAGTCTTCTCTCAGGATTTTGGTAATGTATGTATGCATATGCACCTGGCATGAGTTTCAAGTCTCCATACCTGGGACTCGAACCATGGTTGGTCATGTGGGAGTCCAGTGCCTTAACTGCTATGCCACCTCTTGGCCTCCATTTTGACAATCTTTAAAGACAAAGGAACAAAGCTTGTTTCTAAACTGTGAATGCAGAACATGGAACTCTTAATCCTATCTGTGAGCACAATGAGTATTTCTGGAGGACTGTAAGGCCTTCCTCAGAAACTTTCTCATAAACCTCATGAGATGTTAATGGCCTCATAACCCAATTCTCTCTCTTTACAGGAGAGGAAACTGAGGCCCAGAGGGATAAAGTAATGTGACCCAGGTTGCTTGTCTGCTGTTCCTGAGCCAGAACTAGGACTTGGCCCTCTTGACTTCTAGACCTAAATATCCTATTACTCCTTAACTAAGAGAGAAGGTTAGGAATTCAGAATATATATTGGGTCGTCTGAAAAGTCATGGTACATTTTTGCATAGAAAAATACAACACGACTCTCCCATGACCCAATAGAAGAAAATCACATTTAAGAGCATTTAAGTTAAATGTATGTTATTTTGGAGAGAAAAACAGTCCTTAAGAATAAGGGTCATTGGGCCTAAAATAAAATATTTATTAAGTTCCCAGTAATGTAAAAGGCCCTTGTCAGAACAGGACAGCCATTTCAGGGAGCACAGAATGAGAAGACCTAAGCAGTTTAGGTTAAAATTCAAGAAGGACGTCTCATTAACAATCATTGAGTGATAAAATGTCCTCCAAGAGGGAAGGAAATTCCTTATTCCTGTAATCTGTGAAATTTGTCTTTCCCATCTTCAAAGATGGAACGCAGGTGGTCAGGCAGAGAGGCAGACAATAGACTGTTTACCAACCAAGGCACTGATTGATGTTGATGTGTGATAATGGGCTCCAGGTTGCTGGTGCAAGAGGAAATAGAAGCATCTCACTTCAGAGGAAATAAAGCAGGGCCTAGATGGAGGAAGCATACATTTAGCTAGGTTCTTAGATACTGTATTATAATTTAGTCAATATTGTTTACAGAGAAAAATGATCTTTTTAAAATTCTCTACTTATCATTTCCTCTAGTTAAATTTTTCAAGATGCAAGAAAAAGCGTTTAGAAATATTGCATAATTAAATTTTGTGATCTCGCAAGAAAAGCACCTCAAAGTATGCCACTAACAGAGTTTGGATGAGCTCATTATTTTTGATAGCTGTTTTTGTTTTGTTTCATACTGGCCAACAGTTTCTCCAGTATATTCTGATATTATTTATCATGATTTTTTTTTCCCCCTGAGTGTGTTTCAGGTTCTTTCCACACTGTGCTGGCTAAGCATTTAACAGAGGAAACTCAGAGTAGGGAAACCTACCAGTTGTTCCAATGCTTGCCTTGGGAAACACCCATTAATGTCAAATCGGCACTCTCTGTGAATAATAGTCTTCTCTATTGCGATGTTCCAGACACAGAAGTGGTTCAGCTCAATTACTCACGGTTGCAGCGAATCTTTAATTAGACAAAGGGGAAGGCTACTGTCCCACTAGATGTGGCTGTATCGGCAGTAGCTAGGGAGACTCTAACAGCCTCTTTAACTAGATGTGAAGAATGATGGTTGGGAAAGGCTCTTGCGGCCTTTCATTTTAGTAAAAAGTAGTAATTATTAAGAGTAAAGTGACAGGGATAAAAGTAATTTCAAAAGTAATATAATATATCGTTTTTATGCCAGAAATTGCACAGCCAGAAAGACATTTTTAACAGGAACCTCAAGGCCTGGGTTCTATGGTATTAAATCACTGTGCCTGGAACAAAGTAATTGCAAAATAAATATCTGTTAAATAAATTGCCCTTTGAGCTTGAGCAAGTTGCTGACTTCATCTGAAAAATGACAGTGTGGGATCGTTATTGGTTCCCAAACCTGGCTCTGATCAGCCAAGTCACTCAGGAATCTTTTAAAAAATACTGATTCAGTAGGGCTGGGTGGAACTCATAAATCTGTATTTTTGAGAAGTTTCCTGGGTGCTTCTAATGCTAAACTAGATTGGAAACTCCTGAACTCATCGAAATGACCACTAAAATTCCTCTCTAAGCAAGTCCTAGGCCTTCGTGTGTACCTGGAGACAATACAATGCCAGGGGTCAAGAATACCCTTGCTCCAGCCATACAGCCAGGTGGTGATGTGCCCATGAAGCTGGCATTGTCTCGCTGGGCTTGCTTTGCTTTGATCAAGTGTCCACAGGGGCCTGTGAGCAGGCAGAGGTCTCTGGGGAGAACACGTGACTATGCCATCATCTGAAAGCAAATTGTCTAGATCCCAGAATGCCATCTGGAGGCATGTTACTTTCAAATGGAAAAGTTGCCTTTGTACTAATTTTCACCATAACTGGCAGAGATCAGTGTAGGCACTTTTAAAAGCCGCATTAACTCTTTCAGCTACAGGATGTCATTTAGTTCAATGAAGTAAGTGATGATGCAGTTTAATGAGTTATTGTCTCTGTGTACCTATAGGCACCCCTGTGGCCTGCAAGAGTTAATACGTGTTTTTGGAAGTATTCAGAATGTATCCTCCTGGGAAATAAAATAGAATATCTGATTGCTGATCTTTTTAATAACACAGTGTACAGGAAAATAGTTCTAAAAACAGGTAGATCTTTGTCACTGATGTAGTTTTGCTGTTACTGTGTTGTAACAGAATCCTTAAAAGTATCAAATGAGATGATAATAAATATTTAATAAGCTTAATAAGATGATTATAAATATGTTAATAAGTAAAATACTTATTACAAAAGAGGCCTTGTTATTATTTAATAGAATTAATAGACACAAGGTGTGAAATAAAACTAAAATTATAGTCTTCCTCTAAACTTCAAATGTTAATAAACCAAGACTTTAAAATAATTATTTAAAGATTATGAACCACTTACTTTTCTAACATATATACTCTTTATTTAAACTGAACCCAGCTATAGTCACATGGATTTTCTAAATTAAAAAACTAAATATATAATTAAATGAGGTGAACATAAAGCTTCTTTTTATTAACTTGGGTTTGGTGGATGAACTCACTTTTTATTATGCAATACATACTATAAAAATAGCATGAATTTAGAAAGCCTATATATTGATGCTCCATCTTGAAAATTAGTGTAATTCTCTTAAATTACACCAAAGACAAAGGATTTGGGCTTGAGTCCTATCTCTGCCACTTTTTAGTCTAGTTACTTAGCTCCTCCAGGCCTTCGTTTGCTTAGGAATAACATGGAGTAATAGATCCTATTTTCCTTACTTGCTTCATGGAATTATCCATAAGTTCCAGTGAAATAATGGTAGAAGAGTTCATTTAAGAATCCAAGCCCAGTATTGATGGTTAGAGTTGCTGCAGTGGATTTTCATTGGCACACATGCGCTAAAATACATATTCTTTTGTCTGTCATAGACAAGCAGAATGATGTGGAGATCCCATCTCCCACTCAGAAAGACAGGGAGAAAAAGAAGAAGCAACAGCTCATGACACAAATAAGCGGAGTGAAAAAACTGATGCACAGTTCAAGTTTAAACAACACAAGTATCTCACGCTTTGGAGTCAACACAGAAAATGAAGATCACCTGGCCAAGGTGAGTGTGGGCCGGGTTTGTGTGGGTGGAACTCTCTGCTTTGCAGCAGATGAATGCCCATTTACCTTTTAGGAAATAGTGAGGAACCCTTCTTCTGCCTTACTATTAAATTTTATGATAATGAGGCTGATGTGACATCTTTGTCCATTACTGAGACACCTGATTAAAGATCCTTCTTCCATATCAAAGGACTCTTTTTTTTATCCTGAGTTGGGTTCACTAATGGAGTTTCTCAAAAATGGAGAATCCTTCAGAAGAGATTCTTGGAAAGTCCAAGAGAAAATTAGTAAGCAGGTCTGAATTATCCCAGATAATGTTTCAAAAACTGTAGGCCAAGGGCCAATGGGAAAATCACTGACTGGCAGCACTGAAGAAGAAACCAAGAGAAATTGATGGCACTAGCTCTAGAGCCTAAATCCCAGTAATGGAGGAAGGTATAGAAAGAATTCCTGCATCTTGGAAATTATGCCAAGTGACTGCGGAGGTCCTCAGCCTTGTGAAAATTGAAGATGAACTTGCTGTGAGCAAATGAACGTTTAGTGATGTCTCCTAAAATCTACTATTAGAGGAAAGTTCATTAAACATTGGGCCAAGCCTCTAGGGAGAGCCTGGATCCCTTACTCTGGGCAGTTGTTAAGAAGGGAGTAAATTATTCCTTGAATCAGATAATCTTGGACTAATCCAACAATACAGGCTTGAGTGATGTTTCCTCCAGGTTTATCTGTGGTTTAGGAGCCCTAGGATCTAATTCATAATTAGCATTCTTCATGACCTCTCACATTAAATTGGGGTCGACTTGTGCACATTCTGGCAACTGGGTCTCCTTGACCTAGCTCTTAGTGATAAGAACCAAAGGGCTTAGGGGTTTCCCCTGACACTATTGTCTAGCTTTTATTAATGGGCCCGTGAATAGTGAGTCAAGAGACAGGGGAATGAGACTGGAGTGATACCTATCACTTGTGATTACCTTTGAAGCAGCATTGGTTGAGGATGGACACAGCAAATAGCCATAGTCAACTCAATATATAAATAGAAGCACACTCTCCATTTTCTGAAAACAAACGAACAAACAAAAAACTGCACAGAAACTTGTAACTATCTTTACAAGTGTACCCAACCTCACAGACCGTTCCACTTTCAAATTTTCATGCCACTAGTGCTCTCTAAATAGATACTCTAAAGACTCAGGCAGCTATTGGCCAAAAAGGAAATAAGGATATGGTGTGGTAACAAATCTGTTCTAAAATCTAATTCTAATTTTGATTGCAGGAGCTGGAAGACCTGAATAAATGGGGCCTTAACATCTTCAATGTGGCTGGATATTCACACAATAGGCCCCTAACATGCATCATGTATGCTATATTCCAGGTGAGTAAGCAGGTTATTCAACTGAATGGCTCTTCATGACTTTTTTTTTCCATTCCAGTTTACTTTTCTGATTTAACCTTTCTCCATTTTTAGACATCCACTGACTTATGTTCTAATCCATTTTACTACATAGGAAAGAGACCTCCTGAAGACATTCAAAATTTCATCTGACACATTTGTAACCTACATGATGACTTTAGAAGACCATTACCATTCTGACGTGGCATACCATAACAGCCTACATGCTGCCGATGTAGCCCAGTCAACCCATGTTCTCCTTTCTACACCAGCATTAGATGTGAGTAGTTAGGATTTGTTTCACATGCTTGCCCATCCTCTTAAAAGTTGCATATGATGTGCAATATATTTACACAAATAATGTAATGGGATGACCCTCCACCCTTGAACTAGTACTTTATCGTGTACAGCATCCACTAACTGGGTTATTTGTAGAAATGGATGACATTTCTACTTGTTTTGCTTTCTAATGTTGGAATAATCTTCTCTTTACATTCTGACAATTGGAAATTATTTCATTATCAAGTGATTAACAGTATCTTCAGGACAGAGACCTCACCTTGTTCATCACTGTATTCCTAGTAAGGGACCCAGTATACAAGAGGTCTCTGAAAAGTTCATGGAAAAATGCATACTATGAAAAAACTATACATAGATTTCAAAAAAAAAAGAAATTAAATAACCTATATCTTAATTTTTCATGAACTTTAATTCCATTTTTCATGAACTTTCTGAAAATCCCCTCATATCTCAATCATGCCTGGTATACAGTATATCCTTAATCTGCATGTACTGATCTGAACTGCCCAACACCATCCCAGGCAACATAGGGGGATATCTCAGAAATGTAAAATGTCCGATATAGTTCCTATTAGGAATAAGCATCTATGGATTTATTCTCCTAAGAACTTATAAATATGGTTCTATGGGTTGAAGAAAGAGTAAGAAAATCTGGAACAGAGGAATTAATTCTAAAGCAAGGAGGAGTAGTGCTCCATCTTGTGAGAGATCTAAGGTGGTGGTGGTGGCTCCTTCTCACAGATTAATGCATCTGTAAATAGCAATATAACCAGTGATGTGCCCAGCCAGACATGCTCTTACTTGACAAATAGAAAATGGTGGGCAGGTGCTTCCAGAATTGCTGTCCTGATTCAAGAAAGGACTGGTCAAGCCGATCCAGCCCTATCTTTGCAGACTCAGTTTGGAAGTTGAACATTAAACCAACTCCAACTCTATTGCTTGGGTTCCATTTTTTAATAGACTTAATTTTTAAAATTACTTATTTATTATAGTTTCTTTATTATTATTTTAAATTTGTTATAGAGCATATGTGCTCATCAGAGAGAGACAGGAGGTGGGAGTAGTGAGGAGCAAGAAAGCAAGCCACCAGGTCTAGGACTCAAACTATGGTCAACCATGTGGGATACCAATACCTTACCCACCATACCACCTGCTGGCCCCAAGTTTCCTATTTTTTTAAGAGAAATCTGGGACCAGAAGATGGCATAATGGTTATGTTGCTGGACCCCAATGTAGTTGACCATGGTTTAAGTCCTGGACCTGGTGGCTTAAAACACACACCAGCCATGTGTGTGTGTGCACGTCCAAGATCTTGAGAAGAGAATGGAGAAGAAGAGATTGTGGTGTGGCAGTCTACCCTGAAGGGTGATTCTCGCTTTCTGCTTTTCTGTCCGTCTCTCTCAGACAAGTGCACATGCCTTACAGCAAAAATCTCTCGTAAAAAAATAAAAATAAAAAAAGAAGAGAAATCTACGAAAACCTAGGAAAACGAGGTCAAACTAATGTTTGATTACTCTAAAATAAAGAAACAGTATTATTTTTATGCCCTGTATAAGTATCACAGTGTGAAGTAATACTGTTTATCAGCAATCCACTGTTACTGATAGGATATCAATAATAGCCAGAATTGGCCATGAGTGTCACAAACTTTTAGAGAAAGAACAGTTCAAAATGTCTGACATTTAGAGATCCAGAAGATTTAGGTAATCAGAAGATGAGTGAAGAAATTTTAATTCTAGAACCAGCAGCAGCATATTACTATCTTTAATAAATATGAGGTTTAAAACATTGTGCATAGGCAAGGTACAAAGATGACTTCATGACATTAAGTTTCATTTCTTAGGGATGTTCTCAAATCTTGCCCACAATAAACAACTAGTGAACAGGTATTTAATGAACTAATTAATGAATGTATAAAAGTTTGTGACTGCAGTATATATTTAACTTTGGGAAATCATGTATTGCATATCTTATAAATCTGGAATTTACTCTGTTTTTGCTCTAAGGTTTTACTCAACCTGAATGCATATGAAGGTAGTTGTATCTCAGAACAGTGCCAGTCTAACTTGCTTCCTTGACTTGTATGTGCTTGTGTTACATAAGCACCTTGCTGCCATACCACTGAATCTAAAAACAAACATCAGGTGTTTACACACACCATGGGCATCATGCCAATGCCTTTCCAAGCCTCAGCCTGCATTTTTGATGTGGGAATGAGCTCCAGCCACCATTTCTTTCACATCAGACACTTTATGATGATAAACAGAATCTACGTTTAATTAAATTAGTATGTTGACATGCGCAACAACCCCTCTTCCAACAAGAATGAAATGGAGTCCCTGAAAGTGAAACTGAATAACCAAGAGAGACAAATTCGATATGGAGTTAAATGCTTTCATTTTGTTCCACAGGCTGTCTTCACAGATTTGGAAATTCTGGCTGCCATTTTTGCAGCTGCCATCCATGACGTGGATCATCCTGGAGTCTCCAATCAGTTTCTCATCAACACAAGTGAGTTCACCACTAAAACAATCTTTTTCCTTCTAATGTTTTCATTATGGATAATCACAGGAGCATTAATGAAGTAACCCTCCCATTCCACTCTAACTGGTCAGGCCTTTCCTAGATACTGTGTCCAGTCTGGCAACATAATATTAGAGCTGCATGGAGAACTTGGAGAGGGTCAGAGAGGAGCCATAAAAAGTACTTGAAGTTTGGAAAATACAATACATAAGGAAAGAATAACAGATGTGGAATTATCCAGTAAGGACATAGAGAGGCTTGAGGATAATATGATAATGACTTCCAGTATTATACAGGGCTCTCACACAGAGTATGGTAACCCCTAGTGTCCCTCTCTGCTGGGGAAGCAGACACAAATGTTGGATTTGGGCATGGGAATATCCAAATAAAAATAAGATTAAAAAAAACCCATTGGAATGGGTTTCCACAATTTTAAAGGAAGGGTCATTAAATGTCCCACCCTCTTTCAACTGCACAGGTTTAATTTGGTCTG